GGGGGCGATATGCTGACTCTGTAAACCGCTTAGAGAGGGCTGAAAGCCCTATGAAGCGGTATATAAGTCTAACTGCTATTGCTATTGCTATTTGTATTTAAATAAGGTCCATTTGTATTTTGGGAAAAGACAATAGCAAAATAGGAGGTAAAAAAATTCTGCCTTAAAAAAAGAAGCCACACACAACCAGGCACCCCATAAATGCTACATGTAGAATAGCCCAAAGCACACATTCTGATGAGAGAGGAGTTCCCTGAGGATGGGCTCCAGTATGAATCCCAAAGCTCGAAAGATTAAACCCCTTGTCCCGGTGACCGACCCAAGTTTGCTCCTGCAACGTTATCCCGGGAGACGTGTATTTTGCCTTCATTTGTGAAATCCGGCCTTCTCACCAAAGCACAACATCACCTCATCACTTTCTCCTCACAACAGACTTTTACTCTTTTGGGGCCTCCTTTTTTAATAACATATTCCAAGACAATTTGGGGTGTTTTTCATCTCTCGCAACACTCAGCCCATTTTTAGCTTCTCGTCGTACTCTTGGATTGTTTTCACTTTTTATTTCTCATTTATGTCCTTTTCCCCCCCTCTCTTCAGTGTTTTTAGAGAACACTGCATCTGTCCACTTCTCTTGTCTTTGTTTATCGGGGGGTGGGGTGGTTGTTTGTTCAGCATCTCATTTCATAGCCAAGAAAACAAACAAATGGATCGTCAACCCAGAGTTGACAATCGCACCAAAGATCAGGCCCAAATTGTCATCTTGGACACGTTATACGAAGGCCTAATTCTCTGGAGATAGTTGGGAAGAAAGAGAAGAGGATGGGCAGCAACAAGATGGATGCCTCAATTATAGCAGTGATGGATGCACTGTTGGAAAATCTGGAAGACCAGGTTGGAGACATACCCTCCTGGGTAAAAGCTTTTCGCTAAGTGTCAACACCATCAAATCTACCATTTAGTAGAATTTTTAGTAGAATTTTACAATTCTACCATTTAGTAGAATTTTTCTTTTTCCTTTGTCCTTCTTGGACACTTTCTTCCTTCAGGATTTATAATCTTTGGATCTGACCCACTTTCCCTGGAAGTGATCAGTTCAGCTCTTCTGAAGCCTGAAAGGGAGGTTTGACTCTGCTCAGTTCCTCCTCCTCCTCCTCCTCCTCCTCCTCCTCNATTGGCTTGTTGTTAGTTGCGAAGTCGTGTCCAACCCATCTCAACCCCATGGACAACGTTCCTCCAGGCCTTCCTGTCCTTTACCATCCTTTGGAGTCCATTTAAGCTCACACCGACTGCTTCAGTGACTCCAGCCAGCCACCTCATTCTCTGTCATCCCTTTCTTCTTTTGCCCCCAATCGTTCCCAGCATTAGGCTCTTCTTTGCTGGCTGAGGAATTCTGGGAATTGAAGTCCGCCAGGCTTAAAGTGGCCAAAGTTGGGGACCCCCATTCTAAGTCAGTGATGGTGAACCTTTTTCGCCTCGGGTGCCAAAAGCACGTGTGTGCGTGTGCTATCGGGCATGCTCGCGTGCCCACCCCATGATTTAATCCCCCCCCCGCGCTGTACTTCCTGTGCATGCACGTGTAACACCCCCACCCCCTCGCTGCCTCAGACATTCGCACATAGTTTTCTTGGAGCCTGGGGAGGGTGAAAATGCCCCCCCCTCCGAGGCCCAGTTTCTGACTTCCAGAAAGGTCCGCTTTTCACCCTCCCCAGGCTCCAGAGGCTTTCTAGGAGCCTGGGGAGGGCGAAAAACAGCCCAACGCGCAAACTGGAAGTTTGGGAATGGACTTCCGTGTTGCCCATTGGGCCATATTTCTTCCTCTGGTGGCTTCAGGAGGATTCAGGGAAGCCTCCAGAGAGCGAAAAATGGCTGAAAATCAAAGCCGAAATCAGCTGGCCAGCGCTCACATTGCGTGCTGGAGATGACAGGGCAACGCCTCGCGTGCCCTCAGAAATGGTTGCGGGTGCCACCTGTGGGAGGTCTAGGTTATATGGAATCTTCCACGTTTGTGCTTTCTGTAAACTTTATAAGTGTCCCCTCAATTCCATTGATAAAAATGTTCAATGGCACCGGTCCAGGACTGAGGCCTGTGACATTCCACTCAATGTTTCCCTCAACTGTGAGCCCATCTAAACACTGGTACTTTCTAGCCCATATTTCACCTTTTGTGAAGACAAATATTCTGAAACATTCTGTCAGAGTCTTTGCTGAGCTGCACTGTGTCTGTGGCATTCCCTTCATCTGTTAAACTGAAAATTATGTGAACAAAGTCCATAAGGTAACGTGACATGATTTGTTTGTGAAAAAAATCCAGGTTGCTTCCTGTTAAACTGTAACAAG